GGAGCATGACACGGGATAGACAACAGGTGCCCAGCAAGCAGAAAGGATGAAGTGGTAACCTGCTTTAAATGGTGATGGAGCGAAGAATTAAGTGGTGATGGAGCAATCGTTTTGATGGAGGAAGGGAAAACAAAAAAAAAAAGAAAAAGAAAAACATAAAGGGAGAGGGGGGAAGAAAAAAGGAAAATGAAAATAAAAGAAAGAAAGAGAGGAGAGAAAAGGGAAAAGAAAAAGAAAAGGAAGAAGAAGAGAGGAAGAAAAGAAAAAAGGAAAAAAAATCAGCGTTGCCTCTCGGGATCCCGCTCCGCAGCTCCCAGCGCCGCTCCTGCCGAGGGCGGACACCGGACGCACAGATCCCGGTCCGCCGCCCGCGCACCGCCGCGCTTCAGAGGTCGGGTCTCGCCATTCCTCACCATTACTCGGGGAGGCGTCGGGGAGCCGAGAGCTGGCACCTAGTCCTGCAGTTCCCTCAGCGGGTACAGCCCCTCCGGGCATCTCTATCGATCTCTGGAACGCGGTCAGTGTTAGAAAACTGAAGCTTTTTCCACTGAGCCTTGCTTTACGTCAACAGTGCAAACTACAGATCTCAGTGTGAGCTCTCAGGGTGACTGAAACCGCATGTGAACAGATTTTTCTTACAGCAGGGACTGATGTAACTGCCGTACAAGCAGTTTCTTGAACTATTGTAAGCTGTAATCTAGAACAGAACACTATATATGTGTGTGTATATATATGCATACATATGAACAACATAACACAGTTCTTCGAAGCTTGAAACCACGAAAATGGAAGCAGAGCCATACGGGAGGTGAGCTGGAGGGACGCCTATCTCTGACCAGAGGTGACCAAAGCGGTATTGCCGTGCTGTGAAACGATCCAAACGCTCTTTCCTGCACTCTAAGAAGACATTTTTCGACTTTTCCATCTGAAAGGAAGCATCCGTTTCCTAGGAGGCAGATAGGACTGAAGGGGGACGCTGCTGCCCGAGGAGGGGCCGATACTCGATACAGGCGCTCGGTCCCGAGCGGGAGGAGGGAGCGGTGATGGATGGTGCGGAAGGAATCACAGACCTGTGCCGGTAACAGAAGCTCTCTGGATTCTCCCACAGTTCTTGTTAAAGACAAGAAATGTCGATTGATCTAACAGCTTTCCCCGCGAATGGAACTAAACTACATTTAAAAAAAAAAAAAAAAAAAAAAAAAAAAAAAAAAAAAGGTGACGATTTAAAATACATTTAAAAGGAGGACATGGGTTGATGCCTTTTCTCCTGCTTCGCATCCGTTACGCACTGCGGGCTCCGCACCTCCTCGGGGCAGGCGGGACCGCACCGCTCAGCCCCGCGCACGCCGTGCAACCCGCGCAGAGCTCACTTCGGCTCCGGGATCCCGGCCCCGCCGTGGTCGCAGCCGGAGCCCCCGGGGTTCGCATCGCCGCGCGTGGGATGTACGGGGTCGCGATGGGGTGAAATGCTGCCGGGGTGGCCTCGATGTGGTGCAGCAGATGGGAGGGAGGAACTTCTGCAGCCCCGCTCAGAAGTGAGATGGAAAACTTGGTGCCAGAGCGGGGGGTTCTGCCAAGCACAAAGCCGACGTTCCTCGACACACAGCTCGTAGTGGCGGAGAGCTGGTCAGCTGCCCGGCCCCATTACCGCGCGAAGGCCGCCGCGCCCCGCTTCTATCAGACACAGGCAGAGGGCAAAAAGCCCTCCGGAGCCTCACGCCTGTACTGCTCCAACAACAGTTGGAGCGAGAACCGGAGTCGCCTCCTGGGCACGTCCAGAAACGGAGATGCACAAGGATGAGCAGCCAGAAACAGATGTGTACACCAAAACAAACAAACAAAAATAAAATGAACCGAATTCCTCATGCTTTGGGAAAGCGTTCGCCCCTGCAGCGGGGGGGGGGGGGGGGGTCTCCGGTCCCTCAGCGATGCGGCCCCCAGGCTGGGTGCGCGCCCCTGGACGTGCCGCTCTCTGCTCTCATCTTGATCAACACCGCTTCGGGCAGCGCACCGGGCGGAAAGTAGCTGGCAACGCGACGTCTTCGGGGATGGGCAAAAATCACACCCTCGAAAATGTGGGGTTTTGGGGGGTTGGTTGGTTAGTTGGGTTGATTGTAATCGACGTGTTCTTTTTTCTTCCTTTCTTTTTCTTTCTTCTTTTTTCTTTTTTTTTTTTTTTCTATTCTTTTTTTTTTTTTTTTACGCGAGATGAGGCTGTAGTGGAGGAATTCGCTTAAGAACACGCTGACGCCTTTCTATCTCTGTGGACGACATGAGCACCGAAACGCACGGAACTGCACATTTCCAACCGCACTCCTTTGCTCTGCCCCTGGAGCTCCTGCGGGTCCGCCCGTGTGAAGCAGCCGCATTTCGGAAGGGAAATCCCGAACTCCCATTGAAACTTTCCCCAAAGCCGGCGGTCGGCTGTTCGCAGGGCCGAAATCCCCCCTCGGCCGGGGGCGAATCAGAGACACAGCATCGCCCGGGCCCACGACACGCAGAGGGGCTCTCGGCTCCGCGTGGGGTTGGGGCAGCGCTACAAGAGCCGCCGCCTCCCACGGTCCCGCTTCGCCCCACGCGCGGCTCCTCCCGGCTCAACGTGGAGGCCGTGGGAATCTCTCGAGGTTCCCCAGGCAAAACGCGTTCCCCGGCGGTGCGGCACGGAGGAACGATCTCATTTTTCTCACGGTATTGCCGCTCTGGACGCGGCAGCCGAGGAAGGAGACATCCCCAGAGAGGGGCGGCGAGGAAGAGGACGGAACCTTCCTCTCCCTCCCTCGGGCGGCACTCCGTTCCCTGGGGCGGACGAAATGCGGTGCGGCGAAGCCCCGACGGTTCGAAGTGAATTTTGGAAAAGAGTTGAGTTCGATAAATCGGGGCCCGTTCGCTCTCTGCTGCGCCGAATCGGTGCGCTTTTTTGCAGCGTTCAGTTCGATGTTCGGGGCCCGCACCCAATACGCCTCCGGTACAAACGCTATACCCGCGCTATTCCCTACGCCATTCAAAGCAACGATTTGGAATCGGGAAGGTTTGGGACGCTATAAAAACTCCCTCCTTCAATTTTTTGGTATATCGCCAGAGATTTGGCGACGTTTAAACGCTTGAGGTGTAAAGTTTGTTCTTAATGGGGCCTTATAAAGTCGGAATGTGGGGGCCATTACGCGGCCGCGAACCAATTTCCACCCGGCAGCAGAGGTACGCTGCGCGGGATTTGGCTTTAATGAAGTGAGCGCGCAAATTGCAGCCGGGACTTCGTTTAAAGTCTATCAGCCTCCCCGAAATGGTTTCCCGAACTGTTCTTGATTTCCTTCGCTTTATGAAAAACACCACAGCGGCTCGCCGGGCCCCGGACGCTTTGCAGCCGTTCTCTGTCAGTCGCCCGCCCGGAGCTCAGGAGTGTTGGGGTTTAAATTAAACTTCTAGACCAACACAAATACATTGTATAGACGCCGGAAATTAGTGAGAAACGGTACTAAGAAAGACCAATGAGCGCACCTTCTCTGCCATGGCAAAGCAGATTTTTGTCTCTTCCTTTCCGTATTTGTTATTTTGAAAGAGGAATGCCCCAAAGCCGTGATTTCTCTCCTTCTCTCCTTTTTTTTTTTTTTTTTTGTCTTCTTTTATTTTTCGCTGTTCTCGCTGTTCGTTGCCTCCGGGCGGTCGCTGCACTCCGTCTCTCCGGGACGGTGCCGGTAGCACCGCGCAACGGAAGCGCAGCGGCTGGGACTGCGCAGCGCCGGGCCTTGCTCCCTCCGTAAACACTCGGCAGGGTTTTTACTACAGATTTCTTTCCGTTAATCGTTCTGTGATCTGTTGCTTTGTTTTTCTCTTTACGTTTCTCTAAGTTTTTTCACGGCGGCCTTCCGGCGGCTGACACAATAAAATCGCCAAATGCATATATTGTATAATATATACAGTACAATATATAAATTGCAATATATACCGTGCAACATATGTATATTGCGGTAGGTGTACATATACGTTTCAAAGTGATACAAGCGTGGCGGAGCGGCCTGGGAGCGGGGGAGGAAGCTCCTATCCTTTCTCCTACGTGGTGGCAGCAAACATCTTTTGGTCTTCTCTCCCTCAGCACCCCAATACTGAAGGAAGAGTAATTACCGAGAGCGACCTCGCTCCGAGACCGAACCCCTCAGGGGCAGCGACGTGGCCCCGTCCCGTTCGGCGGCGCTCAATGCCGGCGCGCACCCACCCGCAGCTCCGCGGCTGCGTTGGAGGACCGGAGAGATGTGGCTGAGGGGGAAAGGGACAAGAGGAGCCCCAGGGTTTCGCTGGAGCCGGGGGAAGGCTCCGGGCTACCGGCTGCCTTTCAAATAATATAGGACATCCAATAATAGTAGTGTATAATAATAGTAGTGTATCACAATCATGGTAACAATCATAATAGCGTAGAATAGAAAGTTTAGTAAATAATCGTGATAATATTAATGGTAATAATAATCGATTTTAACAAACGGGAGCGGAGCCCCGTGCTCTCCGTCCCCAAGCACCAGTCAGCCCCTTTTCCCCCATCCCGCCGCCCCCCTCTCCCTCCCGGCTCCTGCGGGTCCCGAGCTGGGCACGGTGCTGCTCCGGGGCTCTCCTCCTGTGCCCGGCACCCTGCTCGGTGCCTACGGGGCAGACTCAGCTGTGACGCGATTTTTGCGCATCTCAACCCCCCGCAGTGGTGGGGGACCCGGACGATGTGGTGTGTGTGTCCCACCGCGATCAGCACAGAGCACAGAGTCGGGAGAAGAGGGGGAAGGAGGAAGCGGGAGACGCTCTGGATCCGAGAGAGATTTAGGACCGGGAGGGAAAGTGGGAAAGAGCTGCGGAAAAGTCACTGCAAACCGAAAATACTAAGAAGAAAAATAACACAAATCCGAGAAATCTCCGCACAACGCCTCCCCCCCCTCCCCTTCCTCTGATTTCCCTCCCCGACCCCCCCGCCCCAGCTTCGGGAGTTTCCCGCAGCGGCTGCCGGAGAGCGGAGCGACACTGACCGGGGTTGAGGTCCAGGCATTGCGTCGGGTCCTCGCCGTCGCCCAGCTGGCCATTGGGGCTGAGGCTTTCCATGGACAAATCCAGCCCCTTGTCCTCCCAGTCCCGCAGTTTCCTCTTTTTATTCGTCCCAATCAAGGCTTCGACAGAGAATGCGTGCGCCCGGGAGCTGAGGGCCACCGCCGACCTCCGCCTCTCGCTCATCTTCCCCCCGGCCCGACCCTGGGCGGACGGCCCCGCGGCTCCAGCACCAGCGGCACAGCCCCGTCCTACATGGGGCTGCGGTGCTCCGCGGGCAGAGCGGGAGCTGTGCTCTGCTCACAGGGGCCGCGGGCCGGGTTTCATCTTTTTTTTTTTTTTTTTTTTTTTTTTTTTTTTT